TTAGTAGCGAATTATAACCGGCCATGGCGGCAGACCGACCACTCAGGGGCCGAGGGGGCGGGATTTGCGGGCGCCGCGCCACACCACGCCTGGCCGGATGCCACACTCAACCGCGGCCAGCTGAATTTTTCATGCGGACTGGCCGCATGCCTGTGTGTGCATGTGTGTGTGTGTGTGTGTGTTTGCGTTGGGGGGTGTTTTGTTATGCTGCGGTGGTTGGTGTGTGATGGTCGTTAACGCCTCGTCAGCTTCGAGAGAGAGGGGGGGGGAGTCCGCGAAAAATCCGTATACTACATAATCCGCTTGTGTTTTAAATAATTCCTGCGCAAGCATGTAGTAGAGAGGGGGAAGAAGGATTGGTGAGAGAGGCGTAGATGGGGGTGGAAGGGGGGGTCTTTCGCTCCCTCTCTCTCTAACAAACACCCACAAACACAAGTAAACACCTAATTGTCTTCTGTCTTCGTTGAAAGCGCGTGTGGGTGCTGGGTGGGAAAAGGATAGGGACGTATAACTTTGCTTGGACGAACGGTGGCAAATACAGGTTGTTAAATACATTGTTGGCGGGTCATTTTTGGCGCCTATGGTGATTTAATATGGGAGCGTGACCACATAGTGGCCATACCACTGTACGACTTGGCACTAGTTTTTTAGTGGGTTTTCCATTTTTCCCCTCTCACTGTTCCGAGTGTGTGTGTGAGAGGGAGGGAGGGTAGGAGGACCACATCCCAGAATTGCGTCCGTGTCGTCGTGTCCGCTGCGGCCGCTCCTTCCTCCACCAGGTGCTGCGCGCTGCGGCCACAAAGGTGAGCGTGACCCCCCCCCCCTCCCTCTCCACCGCTCTGTTGACTTCTTGACTCTTTTCGGGAAAAAAAAGACAAGCTGCACACAGAAAGGCCTTCCTACCTCACAAAGCACCGCGCGACTGCTCCGTTTCCATCTCCGTCTCCATACGATTGCTGTTTTCTGAAGAGGTGTGCAGAAGGAGAAGAAGGGAGGAAGAGGAGGAGGAGGGGTGCGACATGAGGGTGAGCAGCTGAGGTCGATATATAATGGACTGCAGATGGACTGCCCGGGCTGGGGGGCTGGGTAGGTGGCTCGTGCGGCAGCAGCGGGGTGCGCTACCTGGATGAGGCCGCGGCCCCACTGCTCCTGGACACGCTCGTCGTCGTCGTCCAGCTGGTCTTGCGGCGGCGACACCACTCGCCAAGAACGTTTTTCGTACAGCAATCCACAAGACGATGTGGATGTGCGGTAGTCCCCTCGACTGTTTTTGCTCGAAACTTTTGCCGTTCGCGGTGTGTTCGACAACGCGTATAAGACCGGTCGCGCGGCGTGCCTCATTGCGAGTTTGTTGTCGACGACGACGATTATGACGAGCATTACTTTGATGACGCTGCTTTACATACACACTGCGCTGATGAGCGCTGCAGCGCTCGACCGGCTGTGGAGCTCGGGTGACACATAAATCAAGGGCACCGCTTGTACTGGGTGTGCATCCCTTTGTACGAAATCACAACAGACGGTGTGGGGCCAGGCAAACCGTCTCCCTCCCCCTTCTCTCTCTCTCTCTCTCTCTCTCTCTCTCTCTCTTTCTCTCACCTATCTCTTTCTCTCTCTCTTAGGTAGCCGCACGGATAGGCAAACGGATAAAAATGAGGTTCGCGATAAAATTTATGACTGTCTCGTGATTGAGGTATTCGGGCGACAGGGCTCTCGCGGCAGCAGAAGCAGTTTGATCGTCGGGGAGGTGCAGGCGGGGCGGGGAGGGGTGGGGTGTGTGTGCATAGACACTTATGATGTATTGTTGTTTACCCCCTTCACGGACAACACAAACAGACGTCCACGTAACCAGAGACGCGCCATTGCGTGCCGTAACAAAATGACACCAGCGCGCGGGAGGGGAAGTTGCAAAAAGTTTTTTTTAAAGGGTATCTTGTTTTTTACTTTCAGTTTTTGGCGATATACATGTAAATGAGCTCAGTTACTGAACGTCTCCCGTTCTTATGAATCCTTTAACTTTCCAAACGTCTACAGTTCTCAGCCGCACGCTCAGTCAACTTTGTACTGCAGCAAAAAAAAAATTAATAATATTTATCACAGATTTTTGTGTGTGTTATTTCCGCTTTAAAATAAAAGATACGGCCGTGTAGTACATAGTGGCGCACTTTGTGTTGGTTGCGGCAGGAGATGGATGGAGAAGGGCAGAAACAATTCTCTCGGTTTGTTGCGGGGGGTGGAGAGGAAAGAAATGGACGAAGGGATGAACGCAGTTGAAATAAAAAGGTCCTCCGAGTGCAGTAAAACAGAGAGAGAGGGGGGTCTGTGTGTTGGGGGAGCTTGTTGTGGCATTTGCGCCCCTCCCAGAGGACTTTGCCGGCCGGTCCCGCGCGGCTCTGCAGTGATACTGGGCATGATTGTGCACCCCCTCCCCTCCCTCTCCTCTCTCCCCTACCACCCTACCACCCCCTCTTCCTCCCTCTCCTCTCCTATACACTCTCCGGGGAAGTGACTGAAGGGCGTGGCAAATGGTCTCATTGCCATGCACACGCCTTTTCGTCACCCCGCACGCCCGGCGATCATCCTTGCCCTTTACCCTCACTCGACACTAGAAAAAAAAAGCTAGGCACAAGAAAAGCGGAAATAATTAGAATTAAATCGTGGCTTTCTGCTGTGTTTTTTTGTCTTCTTCTTGTGTTATTTCGTTGCGTATGATCGTGGTGGGTGTTCCGTGTGGAGGGAGGGGGGGGGGTGCACTCTCTGTTTCCACTCTGTTGGCCGCCTAAATGAGACGAAAGGCTCATTAGATCCCGCGCCTCAGCAGCAGCAGCAGTCGCCGCACTGGCTGCCAATTGGCGCCGCTGACTTTCAAAAGCCCAAAAAGTCCAATCCGTGCGGGTCGCGGCCGCTCCGGCTCTGGCCTCCGGGGAGAGGAGAGAGGCTAGGGCCCACAGCGTAGAGAGCTGTCGGTGCAGCTTCTGCTGCTGAGAGAAACGGGGAAGTGATGACAGACTGAAAAATAAAAATTCGAGGGACTGAAATTTTATCTGGCGCTGTTAGAGTCTTTAAGCTAGCAGGAATATGGACTTGGGTTTTTCTAAAAATCAGCAATACGCATGTTTATACTGCTGCCCATTTGGTATTTTATATCAAACGAAACTACACGGAAAAGTTTTTAAAAAAGAAATTGATCGGGTAATGCCTCCCTGTGGAGAATTCTAACGTTTAAGATGACGAAAAAAAAATTATCAGCACCGGTCTGAGAGTGTGTGACGTGAGCCGACAAATGGCAAAGCAGTGTTCGCGTATGAGTCGTGGGGGAATGAGTAATGCCCCACACACGTCTCGCCTCCCCCTTTCCCCTCCTCCCCTCCTCCC